ACGCCTAGTTGATGTGAGACTATCTTCCCCTCTTTTTGTCTTCTCCACAACCACCATTCTATTCCACATATAGTGCTATATCCACGGCTCACGCTCATGTATTGCGTGAAGATCGAAAAAGTTTTGAAAATGTCAAAAGTATGAAACAATTGCTTGGCTTGTCATCGGGGTTGTGCATGATTTAAATACTTTGTGTGGTGAAGATAGAGCATAGCCAGACTATATGATTTTGTAAGGATAGCTTTCTTTGGTCATGTTATTTTGAGAAGACATAATTGCTTTGTTAGTATGCTTGAATTATTATTATTTTTATGTCAACATGAACATTTGTCTTGAATCTTTTGAATCTGAATATTCATACCACAATTAAGAAGATTTACATTGAAATTATGCCAAGTAGCACTCCGCATCAAAAATTCTGTTTTTATCATTTACCTACTCGAGGACGAGCAGGAATTAAGCTTGGGGATGCTTGATACGTCTCCAACGTATCTATAATTTTTGATTGCTCCATGCTATATTATCTATTGTTTTGAACATTATTGGGCTTTATTATCCACTTTTATATTATTTTTGGCACTAACCTATTAACCGGAGGCCCAGCCCAGAATTGTTGTTTTTTTGCCTGTTTTAGGGTTTCGAAGAAAAGTAATACCAAACGGAGTCCAAACGGAATGAAACCTTCGGAAACGTGATTTTCTCATCAGATAAGATCCAGGAGACTTAGACCCTCCGTCAACAAAGCCACGAGGCGGTCACGAGGGTGGAGGGAGCCCCCCTAGGAAACGCCCCCTGCCTCATGGGCCCCTCGAAGCTCCACCGACGTACTTCTTCCTCCTATATATATATCCACATACCCCCAAACGATCAGATACGGAGCCAAAAACCTAATTCCACCGCCGCAACTTTCTGTATGCACGAGATCCCATCTTGGGGCCTGTTTCGGAGCTCCGCCGGAGGGGGCATCGATCATGGAGGGCTTCTACATCATCATCCAAGCCCCTCCAATGAAGTGTGAGTAGTTTACTTCAGACCTATGGGTCCATAGTTAGTAGCTAGATGGCTTCTCCTCTTTTTTTGGATCTCAATACAATGTTCTCCCCCTCTCTCATGGAGATCTATTCGATGTAATCTTCTTTTTGCGGTGTGTTTGTTGAGACCAATGAATTGTGGGTTTATGATCAAGTCTATCTATGAATAATATTTGAATCTTCTCTTAATTCTTTTATGTATGATTGGTTATCTTTGCAAGTCTCTTCGAATTATCAATTTGGTTTGGCCTACTAGATTGATTGTTCTTGCCATGGGAGAAGTGCTTAGCTTTGGGTTCGATCTTGCGGTGTCCTTTCCCAGTGACAGAAGGGGCATCAAGATACGTATTGTATCATTGCCATCGAGGATAACAAGATGGGTTTTTTATCATATTGCATGAAACTATCCCTCTACATCATGTCATCTTGCTTAAGGCGTTACTTTGTTTTTAACTTAATACTCTAGATGCATGCTGGATAGCGGTCGATGAGTGGAGTAATAGTAGTAGATGCATGCAGGAGTCGGTATACTTGTCTCGGACGTGATGCCTATATACATGATCATACCTAGATATTCTCATAACTATGCTCAATTCTGTCAATTGCTCAACAGTAATTTGTTCACCCACCATAGAATACTTATGCTCTTGAGAGAAGCCACTAGTGAAACCTATGGCCCCCGGGTCTCTTTCTCATCGTATCAATCTCCATCACTTTATTATTGCTTTGCTTATTACTTTGCCTTTTACTTTTTACTTTGCATCTTTATACCAAAAATACCAAAAATATTATTTATCATCTCTATCAGATCTCACTTTCGTAAGTGACAGTGAAGGGATTGACAACCCCTTAGCGCGCTGGTTGCGTTGAGCTATTGTTTTTGTGTAGGTACAAGGGACTCGAGCGTAGCCTCCTACTGGATTGATACCTTGGTTCTCAAAAACTGAGGGAAATACTTACGCTACTTTGCTGCATCATCCTCTCCTCTTCGGGGAAATCCAACGTAGTGCTCAAGAGGTAGCACAAGGTGGCTGGTGCTCGGAGTGTCCTGTATTTTGGTTCGTCACTGGCATTTAAAGTTATAGCCGTGTCGTTCCAAGGGTTTATTGCTGCTATTTGATAGACTTCGGTGACTTTCAGTACTTTGGGGCCATCGTCTTCTGGGGGGTGTTGTTCTGGGGTATTCTTGCTGAGGATATCCTCGTCACTCTTGGCCACTTGCCGGAGTATCCAACATGCTCTAAGGCTATGTGTTGGTATGTTATCCGGTGTTGCGTGTATTTTGCATGGCCCATCGAGCCATCCTTCCAGAACGGTTCCGCGCCTCATACTAGACTTATATTTCTTTACTATTGGACCGGGCGTTTTACAACGGCGCGCCCTTTTTGCCTGAATGAGAGATTGAGTGGGGACCAATGGTTCCCAACGGGCTGCCTGAGTTTTCCAGGCGCTTTAAATTGCGCTGTACTTCTGTATGATAGTTGCCAAGTCAGCGAACTGTAGTATGTGACGGTAGTATGTGACCGGGCGTTGAGGATTCCTTCGTCCATGCAATTGTTGCGGAACGCTGAGATCGCTTCCTCGTCACGGCAATCTTTAATCTTGTCTTTGACAAGAAGGAATCTGGCCCAGAAGTGGTGGACCGTTTCCTGAGATTGCTATTGTATGCTCATGAGAGCGCTTATATTTGGGTGGGTGAGTGCTTTTAAATCTGAACCCTGACCCAATTTTGGATCTGTAGTATGAAGGACTTCCGGACTTAACAGATCAGGCTCCGGGATATCATGATTTCTTAGGCCCATCATCCGATTCTATGTTCGGAGGGCAAGATGCATCTCCTCGCGGGTGGGTGTCCGGCTCTTCGAAGCCGGAGATCCGGACATAGTCCATTCTTAGTATGGATGGAGAGTTGTTGTCTCGCTCCTCAACTATCGCTATCTGGTGGGTGATCGGTGGAGATTTGATTTCTCTCAGACCGGGTCTAAGCCCAATTCAATCATAGTATGTCACGTCCCCTAGGGCGGCGATGCGATCTAGGAGCTCGTTGAAAGACGAAAGCTCCGCTGGATCCATCTTCTTGGAGTGTTCGGAGTCGATACGAAGGGGATTTTTGATGACCTGAGAGGTCATTGTCAGCTCAACAACCGAACGGGCGGTCACGGTAAAGCCGCCCAGCCAGAGGGTTTGGCCCGAGGCCAGTTCTCCTCCGGTGGTGATATTGTCCTTGAGAACAAGGCGAGCCATCGATCCTGTCATCGACGTCACAGTGGAACTCTCAATGAAAGCACCAATCTCGGTGTCAAAACCGGCGGATCTCGGGTAGGGGGTCCCGAACAGTGCGTCTAGGATCGGTGGTAACAAGAGACGGGGGACACAATGTTTTACCCAGGTTTGGGCCCTCTCTATGGAGGTAATACCCTATGTCCTGCTTGATTGATCTTGATGAATATGAGTATTACAAGAGTTGATCTACCACAAGATCGTAATGACTAAACCCGAAATGTCTAGTCTGGCTATGATTATTCGGGGGTATGTACGGACGTAGCCCTCCGGTTTATATAAGCACAGGAGGGATCTAGGGTTACACAAGGCCGGTTGCAGAGAAAGGAATATTCATATTTGGTCACCAAGCTTGCCTCGCACGCCAAGGAGAGTCCCATCCGGACACGGGTAGAGTCTTCGGTCATCATATCTTCACAACCCATCAGTCCGGCCCATATCCAATAGGTCAGACGCCCGAGGATGCCCTTAGTCCTGGACTCCCTCAATGGGCAAGCGAGCTGCATAATTTCTTTTGTTTGACGTAAATTTTTTCAGATGAGTTTTTGTTGTCTTCTTTTTAACTTTTTTCATTAACGAGAGTGGATCGCAGAGGCGAGGGTAGGAGAACCATGAGATATATCAAAATGAACCGCATTAATTTTTTGTTGTTATCTCCGAAAAAGTCAACCGCAGAGAACTACAACATTTTTTATATTGTATTGCATTTGTTTTGCAAAACATTTTAAGTATTCATGCTTTAGGTTAGTGAACTGCACTATGTATTTTTCTTCTCATTTATTTTAATGAATGTGCACTAACTGCTTAGAAGAGGCAAGTGTGCTGCATCAATTTTTTTAGAGTGAACCTTAAACATTTTTTCTATAAATGGGATGCACTTTTTCTTTAGCAAATACGGGACGCTAACAGAACACCATGGAAAAAACATAGTGCACCGCATAGATCCACGTGTCCGACCAATGAACCACGGGTGGATTGTGGTCATCGCCAGAGCGGACAATAGTGACTAAAAACTAAGTGCAAAATTACAACCACACAACATACACATTTTTAAAAAAGCAATGAACTGCGCCGAAGAAGCCGTGAATTGAAAACGATCCAAAACACTTCTGAACAGAATTGGAGGAGATGTGGGCCTCGATCGAACTGCAACTAAGGGACAAGCGAATAGCACTGTAGCGGCAGGTGACCCTCATTGTCGTCAAAGGGAGCGGCAACACACACCTCGCCCCAACTGGATGTCAGCGCCGCGGATGGACCCCCTTGCACCCCTCCCTCCTGTAGAATTAAAAGCTCCGCACCGCACGAAGCGCACCAACGCGAACTAAATGAGTATCTCACTGCCGATGCAAGACGAAGGAGACGGGGAGGAGAGCATAAACTCCGGCTAGGAGATGGCAGAGTGGTGACGGCACCGCTGCATGGAGAGGAAGCCAAAGGGGTGGGGCGGCTGGAGGCGTCGGTGTCGAATAGCTTCCTGGATCCAGTGGTTGGAAGATGCGGGATCCATGAGGGCGAGGAGAGGTGATGCAGTGTGGCTCATGTGGTGACACAGTGCGGATCGCGTGGTGATGCAGTGCGGGAAGGGACGAGCATGCTTGATGGAAGAAGCCATGAAGATGGAGGGGGAGTAGAAGAAGGTCGAGCAGGAGTGATGGTGTGTGTGCCTGAATTGGAGATTGTTCGGAGATGGAGGATGCCGGAGGCCGGTGGCAGCAACCACATAGCTCGGGATCCATTGGATACAGCGACGGGTGTGATCTGCACTGCATTGGGCGGGGTGGCTCGATGAATCATATGCGGCCGGCGAACCGCGCGTTACGGACGGGCGTACTGCACAACATGTCAGGGGTAGAGCTCCACTGTAAAACGACGCACGTCGGCGACAATTCAGGCCGTAGTCGGAGGAGATGCCCCCGGGCTGGGTGCACCTTGATCCCATGCAGGGCTGCTTCTCCATGGCTCAAGAGCATGGGGAAGGATAGCTCACTGGCAGACGCGTGTGGGAGCCCAGATCGAGGGAATGAAGTGCTCCGAGAAGGAGCAGGCGGGACCAGCCATGGATCTACGAGATCCTCGTTGGGGAGGCTCGGGAGAGGCACCCCCATCGGCCGGTGATGGGCCGACGACAGTAAGAGAGGAAACAGGTGCCTGTGCGCTGGCCAGATCTAGAAGGAGAAGGTGAGGTGGTGGGGCGGCGGTGCAGCGTCAGCGTCGG